TATTATTATTATTATTATTATTATTATTATTATTATTATTATTATTATTATTGTTATTGTTATTGTTATTGTTATTGTTATTGTTATTGTTATTGTTATTGTTGTTGTTGTTGTTATTCATTAAACATGAAACTCAGTCAACTGAACATTTAAAAATGTATCACAAATATCATTGACTGGTGCTGATGGTTGATACAGCATCCTAGATATCAACCAAGTATCTTCTTAAAATGTACTACTACTGCTACTACTTGCACAGCCAGATGTTAAGACTGGATTTGGCATTTTTGTCTACTATCGAGTCCTTACCAAGGACCTGGGATAGGCAAATCTGGATGTTTGATGGTGTTACAGATATTGTCGCAGGATGGAAGCTGTTCCAAGTAAAGCTACCTTCTGCAATTGACTGGCAAATTTGTCAATGCTGATAGTGTTCAAGTGGTGCTCCAGTTATTTTGGGACTGAACCCAAGGCTCCTTTTACTATTGGTGCTACCCTTGCTTGCTTTTGCCATAGTTGTATCATCATCATCATCATCATCATCATCATGTACCATGGCCAGGAAACATTAAAACCCTTGCTTTTATAGGATAATCCAGTACTCTAGCTGGGTCCTGGTCCCACCTGCTTGGCCTAGGATATTTTCTATCTCATAATAGTTTGTGATTCCTCTCTGAATGTTCTGGGAAACCAATAGCTTGTTGTTAGTTTGTTTTTTCCTTTCCTTTTCCTTTTCCTTTTCCTTTTCCTTTTCCTTTTCCTTTCCTTTCCTTCTCTTCCCTTCCCTCCCCTCCCCTCCCCTCCCCTTCCCTTCTTTAGTATGCAAAAGCAACAATAGGCTCCACAGTACGGTGGAGACTTTAGGATTAATTATTAAATTTAAGACAGAAACCTTTAGCATATAATAAATGTTTATTGATACCACACTCATCTTTAAATCCAAGTAACCTTATGCTTATCAACTTGAATGTTTCAGAAATTGCAGTTAACATTGATGCAAATATTTTCATTTCTAATGGTTTAATTGCCTTTAAAATAATACTACCCCTTTAGTCAACATTGTGTAAATATCACTGTTGATTGATTATGTGCCATCAAGTTGTTTGTGATCCTAAGGACCACATAGATGGATTTTCTCCATTGCAATCTATCCCTAGCTAAATACCACTGTCCACAATAACAATAAAAAGAATGGTTTGGGAATCAAGCAACATGTACTTTTCCCCACCTGAATTTGCTCGCTGCTTAAAAATAAATGACTAAGGCTCATAGTATTGTACAGATTATCCTTCTCTAGAGATTAGGCAAGATGATTAATGGAGCTTAAAGTTCCTTTCAGCTTTGGCTGCTGCTGTTTTTACTGTAGTCTAAGTATCAGCTTAAGACACTTCTGCTTTCTCAATAGAGCTTAACCATCAAGGTTCTTGCGTAATTATATTACTTGCCAGTTTAAGCTACTCATTTAATTCTTACTGTAGGGGGTTTTCTTTTAATCTGATGTTATATAGAGTTTATCACGGTTGATTTTTTTTTTAAAAAAACCTGCACAAGATATTAAAAAGCAGTCCTATCTGAACTTATCAAGCAAACACCACATGCAATTTTGTTAGTCACCTTGAGAATTTTTTAAAAATGTAAAATAAGTAAAAAAAAAATACTTATCAAGCAAAACAGGAACAAGAGAAATATTGTCCTAGCTAAGCCTTTTTAAATATTCTACACATTTGGGCTTGGCACATTTTGGGGGCCAAGAGTTATCACATAGGATGATTTAAGAGATTATAGATATGGATTTTAAACATTTATTTCCAGTATGAATGACACTTACCACTTTGTATTTCATCATAGAAAAATCCTTTATTTCGAAGGCTAATAAAAACTGAAGGAATCAGATCTGCCAGATATCGGATAGAAAATGCGTGGGCTGCCACTTTCTTAGCCACCACTTTTGCCTTTGTTTGTATTTCATACTGCATTGCCATGCGACGTTCCTTTAAATAATCATCAATTTTTCTATATGACTTTTAGTACATAATATATAAAACATGCAGATTTTCCCATTTCCCCTTATCTATAAGTATTGAACAATTCATTGATTCCAGAAAAAAAAATTACCTTTGATCACTGCATTTTGATTGTCTTGATAACGTTTGTATGGATCAGATTGCAAGTAATTTCTCAGACTGCTTTCACAAGTTAAGAAGGTCAAAGGTCTAACAAATATGTAGCTGGGTTACCTGTCCCAAGGAACCTGCCTATTTTCTCAGGAGCTACAGGACCAAATTCCTTCCAGGTAACCAAGCAAAATTGTACTCCTGTCACCTGGACTCAATCTGTCTAATTGGAAATAAATTCCAAGTGAATATCAGCAACATTGTTTGCTAGGTAATTGGCCTATTTTAAGAATATGCTGTATGGATAAAGCCATAAAAATCTATTTTTAACCCTGAAGGCAGGACAAGAAGCAATGGATGGAAATTAATCAAGGAGAGAACTAAATAAGAAATAAAGAGAAATTTCTTGGCAGTTGGAACAATTAATCAGTGGAATGACTTGCCTTCAGAAGCTGTGGGTGCTCCAATACTGGAAGTTTTTAAGAAGAGACTGGACAGCCACCTCTTATCTGAAATGGTCTAGGGCAGTGATGGTGAACCTTTTTGTTGTGGTGTGCCAAAAGTGTGTGTGCCGGCACCCACAATGCAATGCGTCGCCCTGCACATGCGCACGCAACACCCCCGCCCAGCCCTCTTACCTGCACTGCACATGTGTGCACCTCCCAGCTGATTTTCGGCCCATTTGAGGCCGTTTTTGCCCTCCTGGAGGTTCAAGGGAAGCCTCTGCAGCCTTGGGAAGCCAAAAAACAGGCCTTCTGGAAATACCGGAAGTGACCATTTTCAGCCTCCGGAGGGCCTCTGGAGCCCGGGGAAGGCCGTTTTCGCCCTCGAGAGCCTCACTTCCAGTATTTCCGGAAGGCCCGTGTTTTGGCCTCCCGAGGCTGCAGAGACTTCCCTCGAGCCTCCGGGAGGGCAAAAACAGCCTCAAATAGGCCGAAAATCAGCTGGGAGGCACGTGCATGCGCAGTGCAGATAAGTTTGGCTGGGGCTCATGTGCCCACACAAATGGCCCTGCGTGCCACCTGTGGCACCCGTGCCATAGGTTCGCCATCACGGGTCTAGGGTTTGGTGCCTGAGCAGGGGATTGGACTAGGAGACAAGGTCTCTCCAGCTCTGTTATTCTGTTACGTGCCTTGTCCCTCGTATTTGTGTTTAACAGTATCAGTTTGTATTACTTGACTTGCTATAAAAGAAGCTGTCCTTTTGAGATCATATCTAATTTAAATTATTTGTAACTTCAAAACTTGACTGATTTGAAACTAAGTACATAAGAATCGCTAACTTTTAGAGTGGGATGAAAACATTTTGATGCACAAGGCAAAGGACAAGATGGTACCCAACCTAAATTCCTTGCTTAAAAATTGCTAGAGCAAAATACATGAGTGTCAAAGTAAACCACTAAGAAATGGTTTCCACAACAATTCTACCTTCTCCTCTCTGTGTCGCCGCTCATTTTCTTCGAGGCGTTGCACTTCAGCCAACTCTGCATTGTGCAATTCCAGATAGGCATATTGGTGTGCCCAAAGATTTCTAAGATCCTCTTCTTCCATGACTTCAAGCAAAGCTTGTTCCACGGTTTTCCCTACCAATACCTCAAGCATTGGTTTAACTTCAATGTCAAAGTCAAAGAGCTGAAGGTTAAAAAAAAAGAGCCAAATGAATGCTGTGCAATATCATTCCTATCATGACAGGAAACAAGAAAATATATTCTTCTGGTCAGGTCATAGACAAGCCTTTCATTGGTTAAAAGGAGACAATCATTCTTATAAAGGAGAATATTTGTAATTCAGGGTTGAAATGAAGGGTCCTTAGTCCTCGGTGAGCTTGATTGTTTCCTTGCAGAAGTTTCATTATCTAATCTAGGTAACGTCATCAGTGGACCAAGTTCAGAAAGCATCAAAGACCTCCTCACAATCATTCTTACCAAGCTTACAGAATTGTTGAAAGGCTAGCTGGGCAATGGAAATCAGAGAAAGGCAATTAATATGGTGTGTTCTTAAGGATCGCACTGGGATTCTCAGATGAAATGAAATCTATCAAGGTTATGAAAATTGAGCAGGTGAAAGGCGGATATGCCTTATCATGGGCTACTTTTTCCATTCACAAAGAGCATTAGGGTCAATAGGAGGCATGGAAAAGGTGGAAATTGCTGTGATTACTCAAGGGTCATTTTCCTTGAAAAGAAAGACCGGTGAAAAACACTTCCTTTCTCACTGCAGTGGCAGCAAATCTCTGATAAGCCCAATTCTGTTTCCAGCCTCTTTGTTAGATGTCATTTTCTTCATCCAGCTTCAACTGGCCTAGGATAAAAGGTGGAAACTTGTATCCTTCCAGATGTTCTGAGTTACAATTCTCAGCTTCCCAAATTAGTGGTCGTGCTAATAGTAGAAATTTGAATCACCTCGACAAATATAAATACATCACTGCAGGTCTAGAGGCAAACAACTTTGACATGGATGGATGTCCTATGAAAAATACTTTCCTTTCGCTTGAATTCTCCCATAGCCCAGAGGTCATGCCCTGCAGAAGATGTTTTGTTATTATCATTCCTCACTCAGGAATTGCAGACTGGATAATACACGATTGTTATTTGTCTCTATTTCCCCTTTTAAACATTATTGTTGTCTTTGGGCAATCAATTCTAGCAAAGAGTGTGGGCACAATTAGGGCAGCTCCTTCAGTCTTTGTATCTGAGCATTCTCAGATGCTTTATATATGCTGAGAATGTAAACACAGTAAATGTTGTTAGGAAACAGGTGCAACAGTGATTTTTCTGGAGCATCTGCTAGATGCCTGGAGGTCATATTGTGCCACATGCTTCATTATCTAATCTTCTGCTTCATTTCCTTGCTTTACTGAATGATTGCTAGGGCCTTAGAGACAGGTCTTCATGGGCACATCATTGCCCCCCTCAAATTAGCTGATTCCCATTTTCTTGCAATCACCTCAGTTGAAAAAAAAAATCGAACTGGGGTTCAGAATATCTGATGTGGTGTTTCACAGTTCTCATATAGTATTGAATTTTAGGATGCCTGAAAGAACAGACTATTACAAAATGTTTTAACTTCTAAATCAGGGCTGTTAAACTCGTGGCCCGCAGGCCGGATGTGTCATGTGCTGGCCACGCCCATGCCTGGTTTAGCAAATGGGAAAAAAAGTCACGATACATTTGATGATACCATGATGACCTGAGTTTGACACCCTTGTTCTAAAGCTTCTAAAATTAGGAATTTTTAAAGATGTGTTTGGTAAAAAAAAACATTACCTCTTGAATTATCTAGAATAGCACTGAAATATTATTGGTACCTCTCCTTCTTCAATTTGTGTTGCTACATCAACTCCAGTCTTTTGTGGGATGAACACTGGGCTGGGTAGTCTTTTTATAAAAGCATCTGTTTGACACTCCATGTCAACTTCAATAATCCGATCTAAAATCTCTTCCAGGTACAATTCTGAAAAAATAAAACTCATGGTAGTCTGTCTTGAAAGATTTCATGTTCCTAGGTTCTATCTGTGGTTCCTAGAATAGCCACTGAAAAAATATAGACTTCTTTTTTATTTTACTTTATGCAGGTGTAGTTGTGAATTGCATTAAAAAAACACAAAATGATGGCTTTGATCATACAGTCATGGTCACTATCTAGATATTTTTTTAAAATTCCTCCTTCTTGTGAATATCCATCTTTTGCACATCCTTCTTGCCCAGAATATATGACAATATATGTACAGTATTGGCAGTACTGTTGACTGAAGTAATTTGTTGCTCTAAGGTGATTTGTTGTTCATTAAAAAACAAGTACTGAAACTATTAGCATGATTGTTAATATTGAAAAAAAAAACAAGAACAAATAACACTGTATAGTGGATGTATCCTATAGTGCAGGGGTCACCAACCTTTTGGACCTCAGGGACCACCAACCTCATTATTTTAAATCCCACGGACCAGAGAACCTGGAAAAATCCCCCAAAAAGTTTGCAGGAAAATTCCCCACCCCGTTTTCCTACTGATTGATCTTTCTTTATTTGGGTTCGCAGGATACTGTTTCCAGCTCCGTTCTCAGGGGGAGAGAGAGACAGACTTTTGGCTTCATGCAAGGAAAGCAGCAGAAGTAGCAGAAGTCTTTATTTCTCTCCCCCAAACTCCACCAGAAATGAGTCTTTGTGAGACTTGTCGCACCAGCGCAGCCACTTGGAGAAGGATGCCTTGCAGGGTCCCAAAGACTTATTTCTGGTAGAGTTTGGGGGAGAGAAAGAAAGACTTTCTCGCCAGAAAGTCTCCAGAAAGCGACCAGAAGCAGAAGAAAGAAGCAGAAGAAGCAACCTGGTGACCAGGCAAGTTCCCCCCTCCGCCCTTTCCCTCCTTCCTCACTACCTTGTGTTGTTTGCAACGCAAGGGACGCAAGCCTTGTGTTCCCACAGGCCATGTGGGCGGCGCAGCCTTGTGTTCCTGCGCAGCCGGGATTAATTGCTTTGGGGGTGACATTTCTCTGCTGACCACCAGAATTTTCTCACGGACCACCAGTGGTCCCCGGCCCATTGGTTGGTGACCACTGCTATAGTGAATATGTTTAGGATGTCATCTTGAAAATGATACACAATATGTTCAGTGCAGAGAATGTTAATAGGAAAGACAAAACCTTTAATTCAGATGGGCCCTGGAAGATGTTAGAATGGGATGTGTAATAGCATATACAGCACCCTAGCAACATGCTCTTTTGATAATGCCATGTGAAAAAAACATGAAAGTATAAAATGTAAGAAAAATCAGGAAAGTTGAAAAGAAAAAGGAAAATTCCTCCATGATCCAATGCCTATCATTTGGGCGGATATTTCTGCCTCACAGATTATCCTTCGTCTCAGGTCTAGAAGTCATTTGATAATTGGTTGATGCTGTCTGGTGCTTTACCTGTCTGCACATCACTGCGATCTCCAACATCCTTCATTTCTGGTGCATGGACCTCATTCTCTTTCTTTTCTTGCTTCCGTTCAAGCATTTTCTTGTGAGCTTCATGTTGCTTCTTGATTTTAGCAGGTTCAGGTTCAAGTTCTGGACTCTGGGAAGGAAGGAGAAGAATTATCTGCTATTTTACATGGTGTTCTTTCTTAATGTCTTATGTATAGCTGGGTTTTCATTCAAGAGATCATGGGGGCATATACCGTGCTCCCATCTCCTATCTTCCCCCATAACAACAACCCTCAGAAGTAGATTGGGTTGAGTGAGAGAGTGTCAAAGTCTCTTATGGTTGAGAGTAGACCTGAACCTTGATCTCCTTGCTCCTAATCCAGCTACATCACATTGAATCTCATTTGGAGAAAATGATTATTGTATTGTGTTGTGTTGCGTTGTGATGCGTTGCATTACATTATGTTACGTTACGTTACATTATATATATTATATTATATTATATTATATTATATTATATTATATTATATTA